GGGGTGGAGGGGGGGCGGGTGGGTTTCCAACAGGCTACCGGTGCCACCCAGGTAAGTGGATCTAAGGCAGAAAACCCCACAGCCCCTTGGAAGGGAGCATGGACGGGCCCTGTTTTGGAGCTACGTCTCTTGCTGGGTGGGCAGACAGACAGACAGGCAGGCTGCTGTGCGTCTCCTGCCTCACTTGTTTTCCATTGCTCCTTGCAAGTCTTTGTTTTACCGTATTTTACAAAAAATGCTCCTCTTTGCAATTCTCACAATCCTGTCCCAAGCTAAGGATCATGGTGGCTTGCCCCACGGTAGTGACCTGAGAGCCCAGCTGAGGTCAGAGGTTCTCTGAGCAAGGGGCTGTCCACGGGCAGCTCCTGCCCCAAAGAGCCTGCAGCCCACACAGAGGCAGGGGATAAAGGCTGTGGGGGAAGCAGAGGCACAGAGCAGGGACGTGGTTGGTGGGGTGCACTGGTTCCCAGCCTGGTGCCTTGCTCTCAAAGAGCTTTGCAAAGACAGGTGTCTGGTCAGATGCCCATTTTACAGCTCGGCAAACTGAGATCCAGAAAGCTGGATTGCAGAACAGTCCGACTAGGAGATTCACTGGAGTTAATGACCAAACCAAGGCATTGAGGAAAATCTCCAGCACAAGACAAGCCCAAAACACCTCGGTCAGTCTTGTCTGAAAGGCTTCCTCCTGTGGTCGGGTAGGAGGTTACAGACCCCCTCAGCCCTCCTTTATATGGTTTTTTTTTTTTTTTAATTGAAGTGAAATTCCCAACGTCCCCTTTTTAAAATGGCAGGTTGGAGCCTTGCCTTTAAGAGCCATGCAAAGGAGACCTCTCCGCTTTTTCAAAGCATCCTGTTCCTAGCCAGATATCTGCCAGCTTGGGTCTGAATTCGCGAGTCATTTGGGTCTCTCTGAAAGGGTGTTTTTTGGCACTTATGCCATTCTCTAAGCGAGCCTGTCCAGCTCCGATTTGGGTGCAGAGCTGCTCCGGGCACTGTGGGCTTCCCATCCCATGCTCCCCACATCACGTTTGTTCAGCGTGCGAGGTAAAACCCTTCTCACCCTGCCGCTCCAGTCTGCCACGGTCGGGGTGGCTGCCCAGCCGCCGGCACCTCCAGGCAGAGGGGGCAACGGGGACGTTGTCGATGAGGGACAACCCAGCCGTGCTGCCTTGTGCCGTGAGACCAATAGGAGAAAGGAGAAGTAAAGCACCGAGATGCTTCAAACCAGCAGATGCATCTCTCTGCAGGTGCTCGGGGAGCAAATGTGTAGAGTATGAAGTGAACGGTTTTAGGATGCCTTCTGGTCCCAGCTGGG